CTCTTCACCTGATTAATCATTAAATAATTTTTTTTATAATTTGTTCTTTAAATAGTCATATATTAAGAGTAGATATGTTTAAATTGTCATGTAATACGAGTAGATAGGTTCGCCTTCGTCCGGTTCTCATTCCTCCCTTGATATCGAACAGGAAAAGTTTATCTCTTGTTTCCTGTTTAGGATTGGGTTTCTGGTTCCTTCAACTCTGTACTTCTGACGTCTCCGCCTGAACTCTAAAATTTTATTATGTAACTATTATTTTTTTCTTTTCCCAATAGTAGATAGGCTTGCCTATCGTCCGGTTCATACTCCTCTCCGTTTTTAACAGAAGTAGAGGTTTATCCCTCATTTCCTATTTAAGATTGGGTTTTCGGTTCCTTCTAAAGTCTACTTCCACACTATACATCTAACGTCTCTGATTGAACCCTGAAATGTTATTCACTAATTAAATCTTGACCTCTTCAAGTCTAAACTTGGCCGTTATCTTTCTTGCATAGCCCCAAGAACTTCACTTCTTGCCCTTTCTTAAGCTAACAACTCCACACAGTAACCCGCTAAGTATTGTTTGACAAACGCTCTAAATACACTACACAAAGTGAGACACAAAAGAGAGAGTATCATGGCGTGAAAATGACAAAGTATGTTTGTGAATGCTGTGAGTCCGTTTTCTTCATTTGAGGGAATTGTGAATATTGTCTTATCTTATACTATCACACGCCCAAAATCATTTTGGTCGGTTGTAGGTTTTATTAGCATGATAAACAATCCAAAAACGCCAGAGCAGAGACTACACTAAAGACAATGACACCGATGTGCCGCAGTAATCGGTTCAGTCACAGGACTTCATCTCCACCGAGAATTTATGGCAACGGGTCAAAATTAACATCCGACACAATAATCCTCAATACAAGAATGCTCTCTATAACAATATGGTAGGATGTTGCAAAATTCCCATACAAGCAGTAATGAATTACATTGCATTACGTAAGTTGGTGTATGTATAAAAAATAAATAGGTTAACGAGAGAAATATTAGTGCATGTTCTTTCATTTATTCTTTTTATTTGCTTGTGCGCATTTGTTATTACAAAGGGTAGATAATTGGAGAATCTGAAATATTTGACCGTGGTATTTCATGTTTAAACACATAATCAATTACGAAAGTAATGTCACCTATTTTATTATGGTAGCCCGCGACGCCACAGGCAGATGATGTTGTTGGACAATAGAGGTTGAATTTTCGCACTAATAACACATTTTTGTCTACACACAGATAGCAGCTGATTAACAGTCTACCAAAATGGCTTCTGATATGAAAGTGCGTACGAAGCAGATGTTTCGGTAGTGGCAATGTCGATGTGTGTAGTTTCCTTTACTCCCAGCAACCCGTTGCTTCCTTAGTAACTTTAGGAGATGTACGTTTTTTTTTTTTTACAAACACGCTATGCAGGCACTAATTTATCACTGGCAAAAATGCATAGCCAATGGTGGCGATGATGTAAGAAAATAATATTTTTCAACTGTAAATTCGCTCTATCCAACAGTGTTATCGTACTTCCTATATCCATTGCAGCTTCCATCGAAATAAAAGAAAGGATAGGGGCATTACTTTCAGGGACACCTTCGTAAAAGAATGATCTCAAAGAATACTTTCCTTACTCCATAAACAAATTTCTTGTTGACTTTGGGTTTTTTTCGACCTTGGAGTAGACAAGTGTCGACTCTGCATAAACTCTTGTTTGGAATCTAGATCATAATTGTTCAACAATGTTTTATCAACATTGACAAGTTATTCCAAAATGTATCACTAAATCGCTTAAAATGCTACAAAATCAGCTTGGGTGCGACTCCATTCGATATGGTTTCTGATTGCAATTAAAACATTTGGTACCCACTTAATTGTCAGCTTCAGCATACCAAACTCCTCATGAATTATAAACCCAAAGCGTTCCCTAGATATCTCTAGAGTCTCGGAAATTCTTTTGGTCAAGATTCTTCAATTGGCCAAAATTAGATCATGAACAGAATCAACAATGTTAAGAGTAGACACCGTTGGATGTCTCCCGTGCGGCATCTTTGGGCGCAAAATCTCCACGTTGGAAGTTGTTACACCACTTCACAGCTGTGTATGACGGACATTTGTCAACCAATGTTACATCATACACATATACATTTCCTTTAAAACTCTTTTTTTTTTTTTTTATCATTTTACCCCAAGCAAGGCGATAATGCTGCTTGGACGCAAGGGGCGACTGGGAACGAAAGAGAATGAGAAAACTTTAGTGAGGTGAAAGGACAATAAAAGAACAGGTTTTAGGAAGACGGATGATGGTGGTGGTTGGCGTTGCATTTAAATTTCTGAAGATTGTAAGTAGCAGGGATGTCATGAATAGGAAGGGAGTTTCACAGGCCAGAAAATAAACTATTAGAATAGAACACAAGACTGCGTCTAGCTAGTTTAACAGTAAAACAGTGAGACCTAGTTGGCAATCTAGTAGTTAAATTCATGCAGTCGAGGCACAAAGGAGGAAAGCTCATCCGAACAATTGCTATGAAAAAGGAAGGAAGCCACGTCACGTCGGTGAGAAAGTTATTGGAGTTGACATGGCAGGCCAGGATCAAATACACTACAGACCCTTCTTTGAATTTTGTCAAGAATCTCGAGATATATAGCAGGAACACCGAGCCATATATGGCAACAATATTCAATACACAGACGAATAGTAGATTTATAAATGTGCAAGATGGATTTTGACGAGAAATATTTTCTGGCACAAGACAGTGGAACCGGAATTCCAGACGATGCAGAATTCAACAACTGAAAATTCTACACTTTCTATTGACGTGCTTCAGTCAATGATTTGAGAAAATTGAAAAGTAGGCGCAAAGATCTTGCAAACTGACATTTCACAATATAAAAGTGTGACACTGTAAGAATGCTGATAATTTGAAGAAAAAAAGGCTTAAATATAATTGAAAGTGAACCCCAAGATGAAGAAGGTAGTAGATAGATTGAAGGACATACCGAAAACAAAAGAAAATATATACTTTTATTTTTGTTTCTCATTTCATGAATAAGAGCCTCGTAGGAAGATAGTGCTGAAATCCCCTTGGGCATCTGGTTAAAGTAAAGCCCAATGGATAATGTGAGGGGGAGTGCGATTTTGGACAGATACCACGAAGCTAGTCACAGATAATAATTTTATGGCTACAAGTAGGTGAAGAAAAATGTAAAGAAATGATTCTATGTCACTTGTTGATAGGGGTGGAAGATGCGCGTGTCGCTAAAAGAACAAAATTTTCTTAGGCCGGAAAATTTCGGTCAAGTGGGTAAAAGCGGAAGAATTACGGACCAAACATGATAATTAGGAATAAAAAAAAACAAACAGATAAAATGTTTATAATGACGTTAAAAGTAACACTTTTTTTGTGTCAGGCATCCACGAGTCGGGTGGAACATCTATTCCCTGGATGGTGACAGCGTGAGGAGCTGATATGAGGAAGTGGGAGGAAAATCAATACACCCACTGAAAGGTACTGGGGTGAGGAACGAGAAAGGGAGAGAACAAGATGGCGGATCGACGTGTTACTCCCCATATTTGAATATGCAAATTGTTTTCCAGGACACTATCAGCAGAGAGTTCTGATTGAATATTTGGAAAAACCTGGGACTCCAGATCGCGTTGGACTCCACACCGATGTTGGGCAAGAGTCTATAAAAGATCAGAGAGGAATGACAGAGACAGTATCAATAGAGGCAGAGAGGCGCTTCCATTACGCCAAGAGGAGGCGATCGCTTTGCCAATCCTCGTGTGATTTGCAGCCACGAAGAACTCATGACACATGCCTTGTTCCAGACTACTAGATAAATTGAGCAGCGTGACCTGATGAAATTGCGAAGTGGATGAATTGAAAGTCTCTATATAACGACAGAGAGAGACGGGGAGAAGTGTGTTTCGTCAGCACTCAGTAATTTTCTGCCTGAAGAAGTCTCTGATTTAAAGTTTGAAACGTCGACTCCGACTTGGAAACGAAGAACAAAGTGTCACGAAATTAGACTACAAGGGAATAGTCGCTAGCCTGCATGCTTGTAGATTCTTATACGAAAAAGTGTTCCTGTATAAACCTCAGTTATATAAACCCCATTGATTTACACCACTTTCTTTATATTTTTTTTTTTTGTCGTATAACATCGTCCCGCCTGAACTACACCAATCCAGCGATATCTGGCGATGATTCGATCCTTGCCTTCCTTGTAATCAAAACAAACACAACGTGGTACAGGGAAGGGCTTGGATCAGAGTGACCAATTTCGCGGTGACCGAGGACGGGACGATATTGTCATGTAGTGCATGGGGCTGCAGCGTTATAAAAAAAAAGTCACTTTCCAGTTAACAGTGAGAATACTGGACTCAGATTATGAGGAATAGGTCCTGAACTTTAAATATCCCCTTATAAAAATAATAATTTATTAAGCAACTTCACCTTTCCTCTTTCTATAATGTTTATTGTTCATATTATTCGTCAGAGTTAACTAATGATATATTACTATTACTCATTTCCAAGTTAGCCTATGAATTATGAATCGCAACGAACAGATACAATAATATTTGAAATGAACAAATAACATATTCATTGTTAAGTGATTAAAATAAAGCGCTTCTCCATGTCAGAAAATGACAAGCTGATTTTAAGCTGATATCTTGTTTCTTGTGTGTTGTTGCTTTTGTATTTTAATTTGATGAGATTCTTCGTATTAATACAAAGTTACAACTTATCATAAGAAATGATATCGGAAAGTTCCTAAATTAGGATCTCCTGACAGATTCCATAACACCTTCCAATCATGTGGGAGATAAAGAATTGTTCACCATGAAAGGGTTCACGAATTTTCTCCCATTTTCTGGCGTTTTGTTGGTGATTGGTGGCCTTTGATTTATTTTCAATCGACACTTTCTTTGAAGGTACAAAACGAATACTTCATTTAAAACAGAAATCGGCTTACGGCCATATCACGCTGAAACACCGGTTCTCGTACGATCACTGAAGTTAAGCAATGTCGAGCATGGTCAGTACCTAGACGAGCGACTGCTTGGAAATATCAGGTGTTGTAAAATAGGATGTGCGAGTGGTGTAATAACGACTCAGAATTGGAAATCCAAATTCCAGTTCCAGCCAGGTTCATTATATTCATTTACGCGCAAATATCCTTTGGAAAAGTATGAATCCATCTCTAAGCTATAAGGGACTTATCAGAAAATCATTACTATCTCAAATACATTCTTACAGTCTAAAAATATTTTCTGGCTTTAAATAACCTGTTTAAGGTTGATAAGCCGTAAAACACAAATCAATCTATAAATATAAACATCGATGTTAACTCAACAAAATTGTGAGAAAAAAGAGGCAGTGGATCTATTGCATAAAATGGTGTATTGGTCTGTGGTATATAAGCCCATTAATGATCCTATATAGCCTAACGAAGAAGAAAAAACATTTATTTTAGAAAACAAGTATTTTTCAACATAATTTCCTACTTAACCCAACGATTCCCCACTAATCACATAAATCGAACATTATGCATTGAAAATCTCAGATCAAAAATCCCCCTTTCTAAGACACAGACATTATATATATATATATATATATATATATATACACATACTTATTTTCCAAGCATAGCTTAGATGTGGCATCCAGTGAGGATCGAACTCACTACTCAGTCGTAATTGTTCTAGCGAGACAAGCTTGCTAACCATTGCACCACCTGAAGGTGACTATATATAATAAATTAAACGATTTAAAATATAATATTTAAAAATAAAATAAAAAATAGGAGCTGGTAATATACATACTTATATTTGATATGAAAAAATAATTTTAAATAATTTAAGTAATTCTATTACATTTACTTGATTTAAAAAAAGAAATATAGTCTATTAGTAATTAAGAGTAAAAATATTTTTAAATTGTAGTTAAATATAACGCATTTTAATCCAAACACCCCTTTTACAAAAAATCTTTAAGTATACAAGTACGAAAAAAATGCCAAAAAACATTTTGTCGTTAATAATAATAATAATAATAACAAAAAATCAGACGAGATGCGTTTTACGAATGTCAGAATTCGTTGACAAATACACCCATACTGTCCCTAAACTTAACCTCTTTTTCGAACGTAACTCATAATTGATACAATAGTTAATAAAAATGAACAGGCTACCGCCTCTGTCTGAATGATTGGATTTCTCTGTATCCTTGGAAACAGGAAATTATGAATTTATATGTGCGTTTAAAACTCAGTAAATTTAAAAATAAGTTATTCCAAAATCCGCTTGAAGATGAAACAGGACTAATGCTTCTAATTTAATTATATAATTAAATTTGAAGTTTTTAGCTTCAGTTTTTGAAACATGGCTATTACTGTGTAGCGAAGAAACCATATTTTAAATCATTTAATTGATAATACTTATGCTCTGTAAATTTACGTTGAGCACTGTTTTGTAAAAATAAGAAAAATATCACTAAGAACACCAGATTATATATATTACTGTTCTTTCTTCTTTTATATATATATATATATATATATATATATATATATATAATACACTCCATTGTTTCGGTTGGGAAGAAGAGGGAAAATCAATGAGGAAATATAGACTTCATTGGTTAAAGAAAAAACAATCTATGACGCTTATGATCCAGATGACACAAGCCGTTTTAAGCATTACTATTTGCATTAATGTAGCACATGACTATAAAGGAATGAAAAGAAATCTGGTCTTTCATTAACTGTCCTATTCTTAGTTTATTTCGTGACTGACACGCTTACATTATTTCTTTGCACCAAAAGTAAGCATTCATGACTATCATAACTTGCTATTATTCACCATAATACTACATTTTTATGTAAGGAACGCATAAACTATCTCCTAAGGGTACATACAACTTTATATGAAAAAAAAATTAAAAAAGCAATGTTTCCTTGATTAAAAAATTTACTAGACAACACACCTTTCACATTTATTTTTAAGTGTTGCAGCTGCTACCGTTCATAATTACAATGGGAGGATTCAGAATTGGCTTCCATATTATTATTATATTGCTTCATGAGGGTGGAGTTCAATTAAGGTTGCGGTGTTGTTTTTAAATAATTGTTAGCCCGTGTTCCCTTAAAAAAAAAAAACATTTTAAAATTCCGACAGCATTTCTTCTTACATTTGATTATTAAACTTTCCACCGAATATATTTTCCGACGTCGGGTATACTATAGTTTTACTAAATTAATTTTCACAAATTTAGTTTTGCTAGTGAAAAGCCTTTCATGAACTTAAATCGAAACTTTCTTTTTCTGACCTGAATTATTATAAGAGCTAACAAAAATATGAAATAATTTGATACGAGCAAGAATATCTATCACGAAGTCAAGAAACAATATCTGAAGTGTTATGTTTTGATAGGTCGAAGCGTTACGGTCTTATTTTAGTTTTGGTTTACTTTTTATCTTTATTTATTTACTAGCCGAATTACCCGAGCCTTGCTGCGAGTCACACATTTTTATGTAAAAAAATGATGATTGATTTTAAATCACTATTATAATTTGTAGAGAAAAAATGATGCATTTCAATATTACTCAATCATCTTGCCAATGTGACCTCCATCTTCTGGCTTTCTCCTTCTACATTTTGGATAGGAGTCAATCCCTTGTTCAAATTTAAATTTAATTTAAATCAAAGGGGGAAAAATTCAGTGGTGAGTTTGTGCAAAAACAGCTTGATTTGACCCCTTTGATATGCATTTGATGCAATACTTGATTGACTGAATTGATGAGCAGATTTCAACAATGACAGTTGAATTTTTGCAACAAATATGTATTGATTGTAAGGAACTACCCACTGATTGGTGATTTCTTGCTCAGCTTGACATCCATATTGTCTCATTTTGATCTTGCCAATATGACCTCCATCTTCTGGCTTTCTCCTTCAATATTTTAGATAGAAGTCATTCCTTTGTTCAAATTTAAATTTAATTTAAATTAGAGGGAAAAAACTTTCAGTGGGTGGTGATAAAGGGACCCTCTTTGATTAAAATGAAATATACTTATCCAAGTACCCTAGGAGCCATTCCCTTGTTCAAATTTAAATTTAATTTAAACCAAAAGGAAAAAAATTCAGTGATGGGTTTGTGCCCACCGGGGACTTCCTTTCATCAAAATGAAATATACTTATCCAAGTACCCTAGGTAATGTAGTTTCAGAATATATATGGTTATGGGGGTCTATCTCCAAAACCCTAGGAGGAGTTCAATAACAAACAGACAAACAGAGGCTACAACTTTATATATACAGATTCTACAATTTAAGTTTGACCTGACTTTTGTAAAAACAGCATATGACAGCTAGAGTGGTACAAGGGACTGACAATTCTTTCAGCTTCTTTAGCGGCAATATGAGTATATGAGTTTCACTCAAGGTCTGAATTGAGTTTTAGTCCCAACAGACATTAAAGGGAAGGAGCCTCATTGAGAGTACAACCACTCGTCAGAACTGGAACAAATTTGGGGTCTGCTCGGTGGTGATGAAATGCTGTTAGCTTTGCTTTGTGGGGTAACAAATGATAAAACCCAGTCTTTCCCCCATTGTGCCATAAGAACTAGGTCAGCTGAGTGATCAGCTGCCAGGTTGTGATTTTGGCGTATGCACCTATAAAACATGGTACCATTTGCATATAAATTTACTAAAGATCTGAGAGGCAGTTTTTTAATATAAAGCAGAAAGAGGGTAAGACCAAAGACAGAGTCTTGGGGGGAAACCAGTATTGATCTCATGGGCTTCAAAGGACTGACCATTAACAATGTACTTCATAGATATAGCTGATTTGATAGGAAAGACTTAGTAACTTAGAAAACTCTTCCAAAGATTCCATAGCTGAAAAATTTGAATAGCAGCCTCCTATACCACAATTTGTCAAATGACTTTGAAATATCTAAGGTGCTCGCTCTTGAGATATATTCATTATTAAGCATTTCACTGATATATGAGTGATGATAGTTAAGATATCAGCAGTAAACATAGAGGAGTGAAAACCATAATGTTTGACATTCAAGGGGTTGTTTTTGCTGGGGTATCAACAACTTCCTTGATAGCTTCAAATGTTTGATGATGACACTAAGGAGGTTGATGGGGCAATATTGGGATGGGTTCGAGAGTGCTCACCTGCATTCTTGTAAACAGAGTATACAGCTATCACCTTCCATGGGCTTGGGAAACGATTCTACTACAGCTCTGGGATAAGGTTCTTAAGAATAACCACAGGGATTTTATCCAGACTAGTAGCCTTCACAGAGTCAAAACTTTTGACAAGTCTGTAAATCACCAAGCCAAGATAGATATATATCATGTTATGAATGGCCCTTGACATCTCATATGGAGGTAGAGGCAGAATTCATTGGGAAGATATTAACCTTATCTGACAAGGACGAAATAACCTCCAAGCCTTTCTTAATGGAAAGTGCTGGTGGCTTGCCTCTATTAAGAATTGTATTTGCAATTTTCCAGAAGTTATGTGATCCAAGTTATTTGTTTTCAACTTTGGCCTGGACTTCTTGCATCCAACTGCTCTTTGCATTTTCCAGGACTCTTTTGCAGTGGTTGTGGTCAGTTCTGAATGAGGCAAGAGTTCTACTATACCATTCCCTCTGATGGTAGTCATGGCTACATTGAGTTATGGCCACAGCATATTCAGGCATAAACCAAAGCTGGTTATTTGGCTTTTGTTGGTATTTTTGTGGGGGCTAAAACTTTCCATGCCAAAGAGAATCCATTCAGAAATAAGGAACAATGTTTTGGAAGATCCATTTCTAAAGAAATCTGAGAGAGGTATTTCTGCAATGTAAGATCTGAAGCTGTTTCAATCAATTTTGGTATATGGGCCCATCTGAGGATACCATTGGTTTGCCATCAATCCTTATATAGATTAATGAGTGGTCTGATGTGCCAAAGGGAGGTAATATTTCAGTGGAACATGGGTTAGCACAGGAGTTGAGAAAAAGGTTAGCATGATGCCCAACTATATCAGAAGCATGAGCAATCTTATCTGGGTCAGCACATAAGTG